ATCCAACGTATGAAACACACTGTCTACTCTCTAATGTTTTCTCCTGGTAGGATCTAACTATTTGCCAGCAAGGAGTGTGACACATTAGGTCCAGATATGAAAGAACTGGGCTCATTTACAGCTAATAGGTTCCTGAAGTGAAACAATGTAGAAATGTGTATTTTTAACACTTTATTCAACTCAAAAGACAAGTTTTTATCTTTGTGTTGAGAAGTTTGCAAGTCAGGTTAAATGCAAGAGATGACAGAAAAACTTTTAAAGCTTCCGATTTTCTTTTTTTTCTTTTCTTTCCATTGCCAGTTTATGGGATTCTTGAATTAAGATGAACCAGAGGATGGGCATTTGGTTTATTTTAATATGTCAGATCACAAGTTCTTGGACGCCAACTGCTATTTACTTAGCTGCTTCCTCTGATCAAGGGCTTTATACTTTGTTGCTTGTGTAATAAAACGCTAAACGTGCTGAGTTATAATCTGTGAGTGAAACACAAGGGCACTGTAGATTGTTCAGGGAAGGGTCAGAATTCAGTTTTAAAACACACTGAGTTCATGGGAATGTGAGATGGCGCTCATTTACCATCATGAACTAAATAGAGCTAAATAGAACCCCTCATTAAAAAACAAAACAAAACAAAACAAACAAAAAAAAACAACTGCAGAATTGTTTGCTGGAAATAAAGTTAGAATTTGAGAAGAAATTTCGGAGAATTTGTTGACTATAAATAAGTGCTCTTTTCTCTTCCAAATTATTTAATGTAAAGCAATAATAATAATAAAAAAAACTTTAGGATGATTTTCAAAAGTTACTTGGATTGTTGTGGAATTTACGTTTCCTATAATATTTGGATTTGAACAACTTTTTTATTTAGTAAGCTACATTTTAGAAAAGCTACAAAGTTTATATACTCCCCAACCAAAAATGTCCATAACAGGTGAACAGTAAACAAATTCTGGCATATATCTGCATAAGGGATAAAATGCTGATAAATGCAACAGTGGAAACTCTCAAGAAAAATGTGTTCAATGAAAGGGGCCAGCCATGAGAGAGTGGGTACGGCATGGTTTCATCGACATGACTTTCTAGAAAGTGGCAAAACTAATCAAGAGATCCAGAGAGCAGATCCATGTTTGCCAGACCTGGGATGCACAGCGACATGCGGACACTTTCTAGGTGATGTAAATGTTCTGATCTTGATGATGTTGGTGATTACGCAGGTGTGCAACTGTGTCAAAACACATGCCACCATGTATTCAAAAACGGTCGTGATTTATTCTACGTAAATCATACCTCGATAAAGTTGATTCACAAAATGAAACAAACAAAAAGAAACAAAAAGCCTATATATGTGGATTTCCGATCACGTGGTCCTCCATGAAAATATTTGGACATCTCTTATTTTAAACACCAAAACAAACCTCATGAACTTGACAGTCACTCTCTCTAAGTAGGGGAGTGCTTGCAGCTTGTGGTTCAACCAGAGTTTAAAAGGTTGCCTTGGAGAAAAGTGAAGTGGCATCCGTGGAATACCTTCTCAGATCCACACAAGGTGCTTTCAATTCATGGACATTTGTAGTGCGGTGTTTGAGAATTTCTTGGAGGGAAGAGGCCTACTGTCCGGAAATATCAAGATGAGCCTTGCGGTGGGAGTATCTATATGCAGGAAGCCCGAATGTGGCACGAATATTCTCCATGAGACGAGAGTGGGAGCCTGTGGAATGTCACCGGAAGCGGCTCGGAACCTTGGATGCACTGGCCCAGTGGACGGAGTCAGTAGGTGGGGAAAGTTTGTGGGATCATGATGGGGCCGTGCCACATACCTTCTGAGTCTGCAGTAGAGTCTGTAAATGTTTATAACAGAGTTGGTGGCTTGGCCCAGAGTGACCCAGAGTAAAAAAAAAAAAAAAAGGAGTGAGCAGAATTGCAGGAATCAAACAGCACGGCCCACCCACTGAAGTTTGCAGCGGATGACTTGCAAGGCTCCGGGTTTGCCTGCGGTGGATGAAGGGGATGCTTCTTTCCTACGTAAATCTATAGAACCCATTCGACTTCCTGGGTTACACATCTACACAATATTATTTTTATGACACATGGGTAACAGCTTTTAAAAAGTTATCTCAGCATAATAAATGTGAGAAATAAGACCCTAAGAGGTCAGAGCTGAGAAATGAGGAACCACAAAGGCCACAAGTGTGAATTTACTTTATTGTGGATTGTGGGTAAATTTCAAAACATCAGATATTTGTATAAATATACAGTTAGCGGACAAGTTTGTTTGTGAGACTTAGTTTTGGAACAGTCTATTACGTGACACACATATTCTACGTGGCCAAAATTTTAGAGAGAAATTTAAGTAAAACACCAAGTATTGTTAAGTTTGTTTTGTAAATAGGACAGTCGTCGTTATAAAGTTTTTAAACTGACAGCATTTTGCTCTTACTGTAATTCTCTTTAGAGTTTTCTATGCCAAGTTCTTAAATGCTTCCTTTCTATATCCTAGGGGATAATTTAGGAGAAAAAAATTAGTCTTCCTCATAAGTAAGGAATTCATTCTATTACCCCATTAAATATTAGCCTTCCCTTCCTAGCAAAAAAAAATTACCATGCTGCCAAGGCAGGAAAAGTTTAATTCCATTTTTTCTTTCTTTATTTTCTCAATTTAGCATTTGTCAAAATATTGAAGAACTATAATGATTTTTTCCTGAAAGAATAAATAACTTTA